CTGTGTTTTAGTGTCATGCATTAAAGATTGTGTTATTCTCATTAAATATAAAAGAACTAAAGACTGAGCTACGTGCAGTTATACATGCTCCTTTATTGAAGTTCAGGAATGGATCATTTTGAAAAGCAGCTCATAAACAAGTGATGGAATAAATGCCTGTCTTCTGTGTGCCTGTGATAGATATGTGCTGGAGCAGTACAACGCCCTCTCCTGGCTGACGTGTGACCCTGCAACACAGGACCGACGATCGTGTCTCCCCATTCATTTTGTGGTGCTCAACCAGCTGTACAACTTCATCATGAACATGTTGTAACCAACGTTCACAGGGAGAGGAGGAGTAGGGAGGGAGGGGGGGGGGAGTGTGTGTACGGTGCAGGGGAAACATTTATCAGTGGAGAGGAAATCGACGACTCCGAAGGGGGTGAAGAAAAACTGCAAAAACCAGACCACATCACAGAGCTGGATCCTGCTACACCGAGACTGGATTTAGACGGCTGTTTTAAGCTGAGGCGGTCCTGTCCCCTTCCCCCTCCCCCTTATGGCTGTTACTGGAGGAGACAGTCCTGTCCCTGTGATTTTAGAGACGTGCACGTAGAGACAAGGGAATAAAGAAGACGGAGGAATAAATGAACGTGAGAGAATGACAGATTGGTTGTCATGATATGTAGCATGGCAGCACAGTCCCTGGCCAGTCTGTGTTGGAGAGAAGAGTATCTGCGGAAGAAAAGGGACACACGTGATCAAGGAAAAACTCAAGAATGGATCTTTAGGTTTTAAGATCGAAAGATTCCTTTTTATTCCTTTGGATGAAATAGTATCCAAAAGAAATGCCTGCATCTATCTTATTTATTGTAAGTTTTTAAATGTATAATTTGTCTTATTTCTTAACCTCTTTTATATATATATAAATATATATATATAAAAAATGGAGAAGGTTTATATCACCTTCTGGCTTTAAAGCAATTGGTCTAAGATATATGTAATCGTCTTAATTAAAAAAAACAACCAGGAAAAAAACAGAAAAATTAACTACGGTCCCAGTAGGTTGCTTTTAGAGTATTATTTTTTGTAATGGAGACAGAATATTTGTATTGTTACCATGTACAGAAGAGTCAGAGTGGAAAATTATGTTTTCATGCCTTTGAGCATGACGGACTTACAGCCAAGCTGTAGCTACAGAGGACTTGTACAGCAATGAACTTCACTGTGTTCAAATAAAGAGGTACATTGTTGTATATAATATTTTATACCACACATTTAGACACAAAAACCAAACGGCAATATATATAAATAATTATATATGGACGCCATGCCAGCAGCTGGTGGTGTGGCTTCTGTTTTAGGAATAAAGTGCGTCAACTTATTTCCCTGTGCTTGTGGTTTTTGAATTTTTTGGGAAGGGGTCTGACGGATGTGCAATCAGACGAGAGGACCCAACAAGAGGAGGAGAGGGAGCTGACGTCAGAGGAGAAAAGAAAATAAGAGCAAGTGTGTGAAAGCAGTCGCCTCTAAGGCAGACGTACTGTGACCTTTTCAGCACGTCCGCTAGATTAGTGGTTCTCAACTGGTGGGTCGGGACCCAGAATAGGCTTTCAGTGGGCCGTGAATGTGTCCCTGGAAGAAAAATGCAGTCAAAACGTTTTGTTCAGTTACTCTGTTCTATCACGCTGTGCAACATCTGAGGTCCAAACTGCACAATATTTCTTTAGAAAAATCTGATTGAGTGAAAAATATAAGAAAGTTGGGTTGAGTTTCATGAAGGAGTAGTGGGTGGGTCCTGAGGCTCGAGCAGCTGATCACCACTGCTCTAGATTCTGACACATCTCCTGAATCTGTTGGATCTGTTGGATCTTTTAGCCCCACTTCTGATTGGTTGTGGATATATTTAGACCAAACCCATTTCACTTCAGAAAGTAAATGTGGTGTCAACAGACTTCGACCAGCTATGGACGGCTGCTTATTGGAGATGCTGTGACCCGTCTGGATGTCTCCTGTTTAGAGGGAAACTGTCAAACTATCGCTCTTTACATCGGATATTTGCCACGACTTGTTGGCTTGAAAACCTGACAGTCATGTATTTTGTCTTCTCTTGAGTGTAGATAAATACATTTAATATTAAATAAAACCCTGAAAATTGAATGTCACCCCAGTGCCCATGTTTTCTTTTTGGAAAACCGTGGTAGTTTGCAGCTTCTACTTAACAGTAACTGCAGGCTTGTAACAACACTCAATTCAAGTGGGGAGAGCATTAAAATAACCCTGCATAACAATAGGAGTCAAATATCTTACTTGTAAATTGCCGAGCTGCCCTGGGGTCTTGTACGAGTCGTACTAGTAGTAGCTGGTAATTCGTTCTTTTGAGATGTTTCTGCATTTTCCACGCTGTAAGCAGCCTTTGGATACACAGAGAAGTCCCGCTTTGTTCGCCTGCTCTCACCAGCCCTGAAATACGAAGTGGAAGTCAAACTGACAACATGTGAGAGTCTAAAATTTAAGATACAATCTGTGAACAGTAGGAACTAATGGATGAATAATAAAGTTTAACCAACCATGCTAGAGCTGCAATGATGAATCACTGTACTGTTAAAATGATCAGCAGAATAATAATCTCCAAACATTCTAAATCATCAATGATTCCTTTTGATTCAAGCTTGTGATTTTTCAACACAATTAAGCAAAACATTTTCCTGGCCCCAGCTTCTTTAAGAGAATAAAGTCTCCACCTTCTCCACCTTTTCAAACAGTCCCCTGTGGTCTAAATGAAACATCTGTGCTGTTCTTTGGTCAAAATATAACATGAATCAAGCACCAGAGGAGGTTTGTGACCCTGTAGAAACCAGCTCTCACAGAACACTCCCTTTTGGTGTGTGTGTCTCTTTAAATGCAATGAGCCCCCTCCCCTCCAAGTTTTTCTGGTATATATCATTCTCTGTAGCGAGAATAAAAATGGCGGACCTCCGTAAAAGTTTTGTTCTAGGCTGGGGGTGTAGTCTATGGGTGGAGATACCAGGGGAGGGGAGGATATTTTATTTTACCAGAATCCCACTGTGACATCACAAGGAGAGCACATTTGAAACGGAGTATTTTTCTCTGTGTTGTAAGACTTATGCAGACCACAAACAAAGTACTGGATGGGTTTATTTCACATTTTGTGGGTCAGTAGACACTCAGGTTACCCAAATATACGTTCACAAACACTGTAGAAGTGGATTTTTCATAATATGTCCCCTTTAAAATTATTATTCTCAAAGGTTGTATAGGTAGAGCAGCCATCCTCATGTTGTGGAAAATTATGAATGAGGAACCCTCAAAGACATTTCTTTGCCACAAAAGAGACAATATCCTCCAAGTCAGTGTGGTTCTTTCTTTGGGAAAGCCCCAGTTTACCGCAGTATCTTTTCAGAGTCCTGATACTTATGACAATGTGATGCTGATGTGCCAAAAGATGAAGTATTTTATTATTTGTGAAACCTTTACTAAAGTGTAACTTCACAAGTTGCTCCACGTTCCTCATTTTCGTTCAGGCGGCTGCTCTTCTGATACAGCTATAGACTAAAATAACTTTACTCTTGTGTATTTTGGACAGAAATCTCAGATGTCTTCCCCTTAATGTGGCCCTAATACTCCTTTGTAAATTTAAAGATTTTATGATTTTGTCAGTGAAAAGCGGGAAATAGTTTTTTTTTAACTACGTTATATAGACTACAAAATAAAATATACTTTATAAATACTGTTACATTCATCGCAGAATAAGACCTTAGTCACAATCTTAGAGCACATGCCTGATTACAGTACATGTCAACTTTTGTTCATTGTGTTCTTCAACTGTATGAATTACTGCATGATAACCAAATATATAGTAGTAAGCCTCGGAGACCGGAAGGATCAGCTACAAGAGGGTATTTACTCAGCACATTTTCAATTCATTATCAATAAAGTACGGAAGAGGATTAGGGCCAAATATGGGAAGTAAATAATTAGAGGAGGAAGTTCTTCTTTTTTTTCCTATAATGTATATTTAAGAAAAGTTGAAATGTGAAGATTGAAGTTTGAGGACAAAGTTGTAATAAAACTTTGTGAAGTTTCAATTTATTTTTGTTCGACATTTTGAGTTTTCACAACATTTCTATTATTGTCTGGAAGTGCATTAGGAAAAAAAAAACCTTCCTCCTCTTATAAATAAATGTTCTTCATTCATGTGCGCACGCAAACTTCAGGCCAACCCTGCGCAACTAAGTGTCCAAGTTGGGCCACTCCAGTGCAAAAAGTCTGGACACGGCCTTGACCCAGAGATCTCCCAGTGCCCACTAATTAAGACCCCTATCAAAGTATTTTATGTAACTGTCTGCTCTCTCCATATTGAGCAGGTAAAGTTGCTCTACCAGCCATGACTCCTTTATGAAGCACACTTGCTTCCTGTTCAAAAGTATCAGTCCTAGTGGTGATTCTAGAGTCTCTTGGGACCCTAGGCAAAAATCAATTCGGGGGCCCTCCAACCAGTGTTCATCATCTGGAGCGTCACTTTACTAATTTTCCTTTTTTCTCTTCTATAAACCAATAATTCCTCTTCATTTTTATTGGTTGACTTCTTTGACAAACTGTTGGTCTTTACAGCAGTAACGCATGCAGCGTTTAGCAGGGAAAGAGAGTGAGTGCTGTCAGATGGGGCCCCCTAAGGGAGGTTTCCTACTGTCGTTGCAAAAAATGCACATTTTGGGCCACTGCTTTGGTTTAAGTTTGTGAGCCCTCAGGGGCCCCCTATACTGGTCTAGGGCCCAAGCAGTTAACTTGTCTTGCCTGTATCTAGTGAAAGGTGGTGTAAATTGTTGTTATTGGTCTTATTTTATGCATCACTTGATTACCCTTTTCTTTTACTCTGTTAGTCTGGTTCAGCTGCTGCAACTTTTACCCCCAGTAGTCACTAATTCAGTCCTGTAACTGAGAGGCATCACACTCATTCCCACGATGTGTCAGCACAGCCTGCAGACAGTCCGGGCTGCAGAGCTGCATCCAGTCAGTGTCAGAGCTTCATGCTGCTGACAACACACCACTCTCCTCACTGTCACACTGATTCAGTAGCTAAGACCCAAGTGGCCATGCGGGAATCATAATAGACAGGGAGGCACAAAAATACCAAGACATTTGTATGAATCTGCTGACAACAGGCTAGCACAGAGGACGAGCTTCTTTATGTCTTAGCTCTCCATGATAACGTTAGCTGTTGTCGGCACACACCCGAGTCCGAGGTCTGAATGCCTCCATGGTGACATTTTCTCTTTTTAAAAGACTTATCACCTTAATAAGTGAGGTAAGGTTATTATCGTCAATTTCACTCATTTATATTGACTTGTTTATCCAGCAGAGGCTGACCAGGGAAGCAATATTGTCTGACTAGTTAGCCTAGCCTACTTGCTAAAATAGGCTAGGCTAGGCTACTCGCTAAGCTAGGCTAGGCTACTAGCATGCTAAGAGAAGCTAACGGGAAAGTAAATAAAAGCTAGCCTCGACCAGTCAGTTGTTAGCTTAGCTGTGAAGGCAGTGCCAGCTTTATCTCGGCTCCTTGCTTTCGCTGAGGGTGACCCATTAAACATTTCCGAGTGCTACTTATGGACTGATATATATTTTTAAATCAAGTTAATACAATGTAAGTAAACGTTATGTAATGATTTTGATACAGTTTAGTAATATAACAAGTGTCGGCTAACTTTAGCACAACTAGCATCAGTGTCACTTCCCCATGGCTTAACTGGCTGCTTGTTATGATAATAACCACTTTGATATTATGAGCTTCTGACCAACCAAACTTCTTGACAGATTAAGTATAAAACGTGTGTTTTGTGAGTTGAATGCATTGTTTCTTTGTGACTGAAGTTTCCTGTCAGTTGTGTAAAGTTTCTGCAGCTTCATGTTTAAAATCATTTCATCTTCTCAACACACACACTGGATGGCTGTCCACGTCTTTAGCGTTAAACAGCATCAGATGTGTCTGTTTAAATGTTGTGCCTGTTCCCTCAAAGGTTTTTCTGCAGAGAGATGGCAGACAGTGCAGGGCTGCAGTTTGTCAGCCCCTATGCCTTTGAAGCCATGCAGAAGGTGGATGTGGTGCGTCTGGCTGCTCTCAGTGACCCAGAGCTGAGGCTGCTGCTGCCCTGCCTGGTGAGGATGGCTCTATGTGCTCCGGCTGATCAGAGCCAGTCCTGGGCTCAGGACAAGAAACTGATCCTCCGCCTGCTCTCTGGGGTGGAAGCTGTCAACTCCATTGTGGCTCTTCTGTCTGTGGACTTTCATAACTTGGAGCAGGATGCACGAAAGGAGCAACAGCTAAGGTATACCCACTTCAACGTAAAATTATAATTACTACAGTACAGTAATGATGATGTCTTAAAAAGCAGCTGATTTTAACCAAGATATGCATTGCTCTGGAGTTGAGTTGTTCTTCTACCAACACCAGTCTCTGAAGACCTCCTGATATTCTCCTTAATGCAGTATTGATGATTACACTTAGTGGTGTAGTGCAGGGTATACACAGGTATACGGAGTATGTCCACTTATTTTTCAGTCTCCATAGGGTACACCCAGTTGTAAATAATAACTGAGTACTTGAATTGCAAAACCAATGCATTATGTAACTTGTTACAACAAAATCAAATTGCATCACTATGTAGTGGTCTGTCGGCCAGTTGCAATTACAACATTTGCTCCTCTTCTGTGGCTCTGAAGTTGAATTGTTCATGTGCACTTATAAAATGTTTAAGGCGAACTAGACATGTCACTGTTTACAACAGAGGCAGTCTATCCTCTGCTGAACTGGCCCCTTAAAAAATACATTTTGGGACAAATGTAGAGTATAGCCACTCTTTCAGGCACCACTACACCACTGCTCATGCACCAGACTAATACATCATTTATTTTGCCTTGTGAAAAATATCATCTTGTTTTGCTAGAAAATACTCTTCTTCAGAATAAGAATGAATTTGTCTTGGCAATATAGGCTAGGTACGTAATGAAGGCATAGAGCTGTTAAACGATCTTACTTTTTTAAAACACTTGAATTGGATTGGCACTCTTCAAGCCCGTGCAGAAGCTTGGGTATCAAATTCTGTATTTGACCTTCTCCAGTATAATCACAATGCTCCATCATTTCCCTTCCAGGCACAAGGCAGGCGGGTCCAACGGAGAAAGTATCCTGGTGTCACAGTTACAGCATGGTCTGACGCTGGAGTTTGAACACAGCGATCCCCTCAGGAGACTCCGTCTGACCCTCAGTGAACTCCTGGCCATCATGAACAAGGTAAGGTCAAAGGTCCCAGTATTAATCAGCACATCATTGGACACTGACACCATGATCTAACTTAGATTAAATTATACATGCTGGTTTTATTCTTTATATGAAATCAAAATAATTGCACCATGACAAGACAATGAAGAATATGTGCTGAAAAAGGCAAAATAATGTCATTAATAAAACCTGGAGATGAAGTTGCTGCCTGTTGTTTCATATAGAGACTTGGAATATATATCTTAAGTAACTTAGTACTTGACAACTCTGTTTTTCAACATTCAATCATTTAAGTACAAAATACAGAATATTTAGAAATGTCTTACTTGTAGAGTTGGGTATTGGATGACAAAAACAGGTCAGCACAGAGTTCTTTATTTAAATAACCAGGATTACAGTCTGTCACTGATGTGCATGAACCAATATGACATACAAAGTCAAATTCTGTTCATTATTTGATTTGTGTAGTGTGAGAATCAATGAATCCTCAAGTTTTTCATGCAGCTCATCCCCTCATTGAAAGCATCAAAATGTAAAATTTCAGGAAATAAAACAGTCCAGCTGCTCTCACAATGATGATGTCCTGATGTGATTGATTCAAGTCGTGTGTTTCTCAGGTGGCAGACTCAAATGGAGAGTTTTTCTTAAAGTCGTCCGAACTCTTTGAAAGCCCTGTGTACCTGGAAGAGGTTGCTGATGTCCTTTGTATTTTACAAGCAGGTACTCGACTCATTTCATTTCGTCTTTCGGTCAAAGCTTTTTTTCTAGCTTAGGCTTTTTTTATATATTGGGTTTGGATATATATCAATTCTGCTTGATTCCCTGTCTATTCTCTTATCATGGTCCGTTATAACATCTGGTGATTCACATACGAGGAGGCTTAGTCATCCTAAACTACGAGTGCTGGACAGCATCGTTATTAAAACAAATGCATCAGAAGGCTTAGAAGCCTCACTTTTGACATGACGTAAAGGGGACCTCTACTTCTCTCTCGCTCTCTCTCTCTCTGTCTCTGTCTCTCTCTCTCCCCTTCTCTCTCGCTCTCTCCCCTTCTCTCTCTGTCTCTCTCTCTGTCTCTCTCTCCCCTTCTCTCGCTCTCTCCCCTTCTCTCTATGTCTCTCTCTCTCTCACTCTCTCTGTCTCTCTCTCTCCCCTTCTCTCGCTCTCTCCCCTTCTCTCTCTGTCTCTCTCTCTCCCCTTCTCTCTCTCTCTCTCCCCTTCTCTCTATGTCTCTCTCTCTCTCTGTCTCTGTCTCTCTCTCTCTCCCCTTCTCTCTCGCTCTCTCCCTCTCTCCCCTTCTCTCTATATCTCTCTCTCTCGCTCTCTATCCCCTTCTCTCTCTATCTCTCTCTGTCTCTCTCTCTCTCCCTTTCTCTCTCTCTCTCCCTTTCTCTCTCTCTCTCTCTCTCTCTCTCTCTTTCTCTCTCTCTCTCTCTCTCTCTCTCTCAGGGAGGTCATAAATATACCCGGGCAGCCCGCCTTAGTATCGCCTATGTGTGGGAAACACTGTAACTAATATTATTTGGACACAAGTTTTCAGATTAATTGAATATATCAATTTATAACTTGCTAGAAAATTGAATACTTTGTAAAAATAAGGTACACATTTCTAAATATATTGTGATATCATTGGGGTTTGAGAATAGCTACAAGCCTGACATATGACTCTGTGGTGAGCGAACAGCAGCATGACAGCCTTTAAACTTTGTAAAGCAGTTCTTAAAAATGGCCAAAACCACAACACTGTGAGCGAGGCCGAGAGAGATGAAAGACATGGAGGGCAGAGTGTTCTGGGCAGCTTGAGGCGGAGTAGTCTGTTCGCTGCTGATGCAGACACTCTCTGCTCAAATGATGAAAGTCTTCACTGTGTGTTTATTCTCTCTCTCCCTCAGAGCTGCCTTCCTTGCTGCCCATCGTGGATGTGGCAGAGGCTTTGCTTCATGTCCGCAATGGAGACTGGTTCCTGTGCCTGTTGGTCGCTAATGTCCCTGACAGCTTCAATGAAGGTATTTCATCTGTTTCATAACACTGCACATGCTGTCAGCTGATAATACAAGACAGAGGGGTTTGTTAATTGCCAGTACCAGCTTCACATATGTTTAGGGGAATGCAGAACCTACAGAAGCTTTCTCTGATAGTTGAGCTATCATTTTAAAGACATTGTTACTGAGTAGCCATCACATATTTTCTCCCTGAGTTGTGTCGCCTCTGCTCTACTTCTGGCCATGCCACACTGGCCTCAGGGGTGCATGTATTTGTCTCTGATTGATGATGGACATTATTGTCTCGCTCTGGCTCACAGAGTGCACCATCTTTGCTTTCAGAGATGAAAGATGCATTATCGTTGTCTCCAGTGCCTCCTTATCACACAGAGGGCCAGAGCTAAGTCAATAGCTTTTGAGAGCATTTATGTGCTTTATATGGCAGTCAACATCAAGGAGTCCTTTTGGCCTTGTTACAGGAACATACCTTGTTTTGTTGAATTGAAAGTGAAATGAATTGATCAAAGGGTGTCGTGTTGGAAATGGCTCTGTCTGGAAGCATCAAGGTTTGTCATGTTTAACCTTAGCTGGTCCCCAAACTTGACTCCTATCACTCTTTTAGGCTGTACAGAATAACCCAGGAGTGGCAGAGATGGAAACGAATACTATTTCAGACAGTCCTTTTAAACTTTCAGCTGTGGGAAGGAACATGAAATCAGGATGCTGAAATGCTCTCCGCTGGCTGTTAAATCCTATTTACAGGAAAGTCATACTTCTACAGTTCAGGGTCTTTGTGGAGGAACTCGCCCTGACCATAACCAGATAATGCAGAACTGCTGCAGTGTTACAGTCTATCAGGAATAAACAGAACAAATGAAGATTTAGAGAAGGTTTACATCAAAAGATTTACGCGACACACAAATAGAAATGTATTGATTGTAGAGTATTTATTTTGTTTATTGAAAAATAAATTAAGGGTTTTAATTATGTTATCTTGCCGTAGGAAAATTAATTAATAAAAATGAACCAATTTCAAGAATTGATAACTTAATTTAAGTAAATTCAGTTGTCCAAATGTAAATGATTATTTTTTAAGGTTTATTTTGGGGCTTTTTGTGCCTTCATTTAGACATAGATCAGTGGATAGAGTCAGAAATTGTGGAGAAAGAAAGGGTGGGGAATGACATGCAGGAAAGGAGCCACAGGTCGGAACCGAGGCCCCCCGCTTGGAGGACTATAACCTCTGCACATGGGGTGCGAGCACTAACCACTAGGCTACCGGTGCCCCATAATGTATATTTTTAAGGGTGTTACAAACCGTCTGAATGAGCTTTTGTGTCTTTGCAGTTTGTCGAGGTTTGATCAAGAATGGAGAGCGTCAGGACGAGGAGAGTGTCGGTGGTCGACGTCGGACTGAAGCTCTGAGGCAGCTGTGTCAGATGAACCCCTCACAGGCCCTCAACATCAGAGCCATGGTGGTCAGTTAAAAACTATCACAGGATACAAAACAAACAGCATCATCTACATTTAACCCAAAGTTTGTCCACTTAAATCTCAGAGTTCATCAAAGCTGCTTTATTCTGATGGGAACACGTTACTGCTGAATTAATTCTCACTCTTTAATTATTCATGAAACTTGTTAGTGCAGTTTTACCCTCTAATCACTCGCTGTGAAGTGCTTTCATTTCAGGATGTTTGTGTTTCAGGATGGTTGTTGACAAGTTGACTAATAATTTGCAGAAACATGGTTGCATAAAAAATAACTTGTGACAGTAAAGTATTTATTATAATGTATGTCTTAAATGATTTTGCATTTAATCTTTACTTCAATGGTAAGTAGTCTAACAGTCATTATCCATGCTTGTCTCTTTAAAGGGAATACATCAGGGCTTTTCAACTATATCGTTCAGGGGACAAATTTTCAGAACGCTAAGGACCCGGGGGCTAGACATGCAAGCCCACCACAGCAGTACACTGTGCGAAAGCCGTTTTTCCCATCAACAACACCAGCTTGTGATAGGCTGCGAGCACGGGACCAAAGATGTTCTATTAAACAGGAGGGCTTTGCTGTTTTTAACACTTAATAGAGGCAACAAAACAGTCATTCACAAGTTTTCCCCCTTGTTTATTATTTATTTATTTATTATTTGTAAATAGAAATGATCGGCGGGCCAGTCTGATGTCATCTGCGGGCCGGAGTTGGCCCCTTGGCTGCCAGTTGAATAGGCCTGGCGTACATGGATAAGACAATCTCTGTCTTACATCTATCCTACAGAAGATGTAGGACAGAGATGTTTATATTAACAGTGAAACAAGTTACCCCAAGAAAATAGTGTGACAAACAGGAGGTGTCATCTACACTGATAAAGAGAGGATGATCAGCTGGTTCTGACGCTTCATAGAGAGTTTGACTTTATTGTTTTGATTTACTCCGACTACACTCATTAGCCCTGTTCAGACTGCTGTGACTACAAGTGATCCCCCCCTCTGGTAGTAACAGAGCAGGCGTTACAGAAGTGACTGTTTCAGCAAAGTCAGCTGCGGAGTGTAGTGCTGTGTGTGTGAATGTCTGACTGTGTTTATGTGGAGCTCACGCTGCGCCGTGCTTCTGCAATGTCGAAACACAACAGAGTGGGACACCAATATTACACCGTTGCGTCAGCAGGACTCATACTCATATTTAAAATGTCCTGAGAGGGGTCAAAGTAACACATAACTTGCAGGGATTAGTGACACGTCAGTATGATTAAGACCTTATTAATATCATGCTATCATTTGTGTTGATTTTGTTTATTTCCCAGGTGGAGGAGTGTCACCTGCCTGGTTTGGGTGTGGCTCTGACTCTGGACTATAAACCCGATACAGCGGACGAGGCAGTTAGTCCGCTGGTCTCTTATGTCAGCGGACTACTGCTGGGCACCAACAGCAAAGTCCGCACATGGTTCAGCATGTTCATTCGCAATGGACAACAGGTGAGGGACGAAGGGATTACTCTATACCTTATTCTTGTTTGATTACATACACGTGCATGCTCCCCCCTGACCTAAACCTTATTCTGACCTTATTTAAAAACTGAAGTCGTGAGGACAAAACAAAACATTGACAAAGCAAAAATGTTCACACATATTTATATAGTTATCAGAAAAGAAGTTTATTTTTTTGTTCATAAATTGAGTGTTTCCCACACATAGACGATACCTGGGCAGTATATTTCTGAACGTTTTTAAATGTATATATAAACTGCCACATGCACAAGAGAGAGAGGTCAGCTGTCCTCATGTCCCCCACGATAAGGCTGTGACTGAGATGCATTGCTCATGTCAGAACTGAAGCTTCTTATGCCTTTGTTTTATTTATCTGCAGCTGCTTGCTGCAGATGATGTCATGCAGTCTTAGTTTATTATGATTGTTGTGATACTTTATCATCAATGAGACTCCTCCTATGAGGATCACCTGATGTGATCATGTGTTTGTTACACAAACTGAAATAAGTTAGAAAATAAAGCACAATTAATAGGTTATATGTGCAAACCTAAAATAAATAGCGTCATTCTGCATTTACCGTACATAAACCCTGACTGGTTGGAGTCCTAATGTAAGCACTGGTATGGAAGCAGTTGACTTCTAACTTTCCCTTGTTCCCTCTCAGAGAAAGCGAGAAAGCAGCTCAGTGCTGTGGCAGATGCGCAGACAGCTGCTGTTGGAGCTGGTCGCCATCCTGCCCCGCTCACGTAGCACCCACGTACCTAATGACAACGGTATGGAAGTGGACGGTGGCTCGGGGTACTCTGGACTCAGGGAGGAGCACGTGGTGAAGGCCAGCGCTCTGCTCCGACTCTACTGTGCCCTCATGGGCATAGCAGGCCTCAGGTAGGTCACAGATCAGCCCTCCTGATATTTGAAGGTTATGTAATTATAAATCTGATATTTGAGTGTCTATTCGGTTTTGTTAATAAGATGACGATGATAATATAATCAGTGTGATTCCTCGCAGACCTACAGATGAAGAGGCCGAGCAGCTCTTGCAGTTGATGACCAGCCGGCCTCCAGCCACTCCTGCAGGTGTTCGCTTTGTCTCTCTGTCATTCTGCAAGCTGCTGGCCTTCCCCACTCTGGTCAGGTACGTAAAGCTGGTCTTAGCATCTCCTTGGGATCACAAGCCTTATTCCACTAACAGAGGACTTAAAGTTAGAGTTGTATGCCAAACCTCTGCATTTGATACTGCCGTTTAGTTCCTTAGAGTGGACGTTATTCTCTTTGTGTGTGTGTGTGTGTTCAGCACTCCAGAGCAGGAACAGCTGATGGTCATGTGGCTCAGCTGGATGATCAAAGAGGAGGAATATTTTGAGAGGTAAGAGAATCTACATTATGATGATAATGAAGCATTTTCAGAAGTTTTCTGCAAGTGTGAAAGCCCTGTATGATAGGTTTTTTCTTTGATTGAATAGGGGGTAATAAACTTAGCAGACTGTTTGTATACTGTGTGTTAAAATTAATTAACTGTTTGATTTAATTCCACAAACGCATAAATCATCTCAGAGGCTCAAAAGACTTTATCGGTGACTAAAGGGGCACAGTAATTGAAGGCTTTTGTGTTCGTCTGTGTGCATGTATGTGTGTGTAGGCTAATGCGACCAGCATCATCAGTGTATTCAGTTTCTGTCCTGTAGGATGCAGGATTGATGACAAGTCTGTGTTTTTTCACTCGCCCTGCATGCATATGTGTGTCCTCCTTACAGTGCTGCGGGCGTATCTGCTTCTTTTGGAGAAATGCTATTACTGGTTGCCATGTATTTCCATAGCAACCAGCTCAGCTCCATTATCGAGTTGGTGTGCTCTACTTTGGGGATGAAGGTAAGGTGGTAGGTGGGAGGGAGGGAAGGAGGGGGTGATCAATACATCAGTCTGGCTGACCAGCTGCTGGCCCCACTCCTCCTCTGCAGCAGCAGTGGCTCACATAAAGACTGTATCCCTGATGAAACATTGCAGCATGCACATATCTACAAAGACACTCTATACCCTGTGGCCAATTTGTTGTTTTATGACTTATTAAGTGCACTATTGTTCCTGCCTGTGTACTAAGTAGTTTCCCTGTCTCGGTGTATTTTCCACTAAGATGTATAATGTAATTGGATTTAGAGCCCGTTTGTTTCCTCCCCCAGGGCAATCCTCTCAATTCAACGTTGAGCCTGCCATGTAGAATTTTCTTATAAAGTATGAAATGGAAGATTAACAGAATGCAGCTCTGTTGCCTTCAGGTTGTTTTCACTCACAGTAGACCCACCATTGTTGATGTTCTCCTCCTTTTTCTTGCCCGTGTTCAATCACAGATTGCCATCAAGCCCAGCTCGCTGAGCAAAATGAAAACCATCTTCACACAGGAGATCTTCACAGAACAGGTATGTACATTTGGACTTGGGAAGTGGACTTGAGCTTGCGTAGCGCTTTTTTAGTCTTCTGACCACTTAAAGTGCTTTTACACTGCATGTCACACCTACACATTCACACACTGATGATTTCTAAGTAAAGTGACCATAAGAAGTAACTTATCCCATTCATCCACATTCATATGCCGCTGACAAAGCAGCAGGAGCTGGGGATTGAACCCCCGGCCTTCTGGTTGAGATACGACCAACTGAGCCACAGCCACCCCAGAATTGCAACACTTGCAGCTCATTGAAAGACCCAAATATAAATTAAATTTAAATTAAGTTGTTCACATTCTCACTTTTGTGACTTTGAACTGTTCTGAATGTGTAGGTGTTTTTTTTTCTTTTTTTCTAATGTTGCTTTTTGGATCACTTTTTTCTGGTGTGTAGGTGGTGACGGCACATGCAGTGAGAGTGGCAGTGACCAACAATCTAAGTGCAACCATCACCGGGTTCCTCCCCATTCACTGCATCTACCAGCTGCTCCGGAGCCGATCCTTTACCAAGCACAAAGTGTCCATCAAGGTAGGGCCTGTGCATTTCATGAGAAATAACTGCTGAGTGTGTTTTTGACTGTTTGAAGTATTAATTTTGCCCTGTGGCGCTCTCCTTGTGTGCGTCTTGCAGGATTGGATCTATCGACAGCTCTGTGAGACCACCACCCCCATTCACACCCAGCTGATTCCTCTCATCGACGTCTATATCAACTCCATCCTCACTCCAGCGTCCAAAGCCAACCCAGAGGCCACCAACCAGCCAATCACTGAGCAGGAGATCCTCAATGTCTTCCAGAGCTCTGCTGGGGTGAGTCAGCCTCAGCACTTCACAGAAAATACAAAAACCTGAACTCTACTCTGAGCAGGATGCAGAACACCCAGACAGATAGCAGACTTTTATCATAAATCATTTAATCGACTGTAAAATCTGGGATGTTGTGTCTGACATCAAAAGTATTGATTGACTGAAATCTTTTATTTTATCAGTGAATTGTTGAATTTCATTTTTCCTACACTTGATAAGAAATTATTTTTTAAGAAAAGATATGTCTTATTCATAACAGCGTTTTAGAATGAAATGGAAATAAAACAGCATCCCATTGCCAAGAAGTTAACCAGGTTTTTAAGAATGATCGATATCCATTGCTCACTGATGTTTCAGGGCTCCTTTAAGCTGATCTTCTCTGACCTCTTGAGTTCTCTCCGCTTCTCTCTTTCTCATTCGGTTAGCAAGGGGAGGCTAGCCGAGGAGGACGACAACGCTACTCCATCACCACCCAGCTCCTTATCCTGTACTACATCCTGTCTTATGAGGAGAACTTGCTGGCGAGCACCAAACAGCTGGGTGTGTACAAGACAATAAATGTGTTTTGTATAACTCTGGGCTTTTGGCTCACTTTCTCTCCATTTCTTATTTTCTCATCAACTGCCTGTCTAAAGTGCTATCCATTGTCATCTCCTCCACTGAACGGAGGCGTTGTATTTGCGACTGAGTGAATTAGTCAGGCGGTTAGAGGAGAGAGGCAGCTTTTTGTCCTCTGTTAAGTTCTAGGAGATGCTCTCTGGATGTGAAGTCATTCATCCCTTTTTTTTGAACGTTGGCCACTTATTTAAGAATAAATTGGGACGGCTGACAAAGAGCCAAGCACAATTGCTGCCGAGGCTGAGCTAACTAGGACAGCTGTAGGTTAGACTGAGCATTAGCAGTTAGCCTAGTCAGTGTTTATTCTCTCCCATGACGAGCTCTCCTCTTGCCCTTCATTAGGCCAGATTTATGTGAGGGTTTATGCCCATCTCTTTAATTGCTCTGTTTACCCAAGTGCTCCCGCAGCCTTCAAGGAAGGAGTAATGAAGCCCATCAGCAGTGGTAATGAACCCACGTCAATGAAAAATCACCTCTGCTCCTCTAAAAGATCGCCACAGCAGCTTGGGCGTCCTTAAAAACACTCATGCTCTGTCGTGTCCTTTTTTTACTTAATGTTGTCACCCTCTTCATTGTCTCTTTGCTTCACTCACACCTTTGTCTCTTTTATCATAGCCCTGATGCAGAGGAAGCCAAAGTCCTACTCAGCAGCTCTGATGGACCAGATCCCCATTAAGTACTTGGTTACTCAGGCCCAGGGTCTGCAGCAGGAGCTAGGAGGTAAGTTATGGACGTAATGTTTGGTTACATCTTTATATCCAAGTTTTAATGTATTAATGTAGTGTTGTATACTTCAGAGGCCACCACATGGCAAGGAGGGGGCGGAGGGAGACAGCTCTCTGCAATGTTTTGAATGTGGACTGCAGTACCCATTTTAAACACTAGGGGTCAGAGATACATATTGCTCCTTTAAATTCGATGCTTCTAGTCATTCAAGTAGATCACTCAGAGTCAAGCACATTTTGTCAGTCTGCACTAACAGTGCCGACTGAAAGAAACTTATTAAGTCTTAAAATGACCCTTGAGAACAGGCAAAGTTCGTATCGGTAATAACACTTAATAAAACGTGAATCAGTCTTTCTCAGAGGGTCACGTTTTCTCTTCTGCTTCTAACTAAGCTCAGCTCTCTGACAAACAAGATCCTTATGAATGATGTCTTTAAACACAGAAATGTTTCATATTTGACTATTCAGTACAAAGATTTGACTCGGATTCAGCTGTAAAAGAATAGAGAAGGTTTGCCTTGTTACTTTTTAAAGGGACTACTTGTGTGATTGGGGGGAAAGCGATGCATAACACCAGACATTTTTTATGGGTTGTAAACTTAAAAAATAACCGTCTCCCTCTCGCTCTCTCTTTCTCATTCCAGGTCTGCACTCTGCCCTCCTGAGACTGCTGGCAACCAACTTCCCCCACCTGTGTCTGGTGGAGGACTGGGTGTGCGAGGAGGAAGTGACTGGTACTCTGCCTCTACTGAGGAAGATGATGCTCCCCAGCAACACCTGCAGATACACCCAGAGCCAGCTCCACCAGGGTAAGGAGGGTGGGAGTAAGGGGACACTACAAAGATCTCTCTCTTGATATAAAGCAGCATCTGTGATACCAATCTTATGCAATGTGTACCTGAGTAGTGAAAGCAGTCCCTTAACATTAAGAGATCTTAATGTTGTGTAATACATTTACAGGTGGAAGCTTTTCCCTAACAGAAACCCCGTATCAGTGCTTAATCCTTCAGCGGTTTAGAGGATTATGCTGTAATTGGCTTCTCCTTAATAAACATCCTTGAAAACAGCAAAAGTTCTCCAGATAATCATTTGGACACACCATTATGGAGCCTAAAGCACCAAACACACACCTTTTAAACACATTATATTTTTTAGTTTATGTACATAAACACAACTGTGTGGTTGAAATGCATCCAGGGGGCATTTAAATGCTCACGCTTGAATTACAAACTTCTTACAAGAAGGTCAATAAATTAATTATTAATGAAAAGGAAAATATAGTAAGGATAGAAAATGATCTCGTCTGGTAGTTGGTAGTTCTGGTGGTGTGCACATTTGGTTTACTTATGGCAACATAACAACACTCCTCAACTCATGACTTTAAATATTTAATCATCTTTTTCTCCCCCGCTTCACAGCCTTCCAGAAGTTACCATCCAGTAGTCCCAGGCTAATGCGGATCCTGGAGCACTTAACCCTGCTGTCCCCTGGAGACCTGATCCCGTATGCGGAGGCCCTCACAGCCAGTATGGCTCTGCTGCTGGAGCCCGCCGTGCCTCGACGAATACTGCAGACCCTTAACAAGCTCTGGATCGGACTCAACACCGTGATGCCCCGCAGGTACATGCTCTGGACCGAGAATAGAGATAGAGAATACTACTGTGACAGCGTCTAGTGAGCATACAATTGAAGTTCATTTTGGAGTTATACACTGTAGTATAAGGATATTAAATTTGTTGACATTGTGACATTTCTGATCCTGTATTTGATCATGCCTATAAACCCCTCTATTTCAGTCCTGTTCAGAACAGGCTGTTTCTGTGTCTGTAGCTTTAAATGTAAATGAGCTGTGTCTGACCACGCCCCCTCTCTGGAAGGGCTTGGGTGTCTCTGGCTTTCTCGGTCCATATCCTATTGTTTATGGTGAGAAGGCAGACTCAGGGCAGAACAAACACCTAGCTGTGGGAGTGTCACCCACCTGGGGGAGGGGTTACTGCCCTTTGTGATGTCATGAAGGGAAAATCTCCAAACGGCCTGTTTGAGCACACATATTCTGAAAAGTGGAGCAGGCAAAACACGGAGAGGATGGACTTTTCTCATCACTGGGGGGTTTGTAGACAGACTAGAGACACATAATAGTGTTAGAGAAACATGGTGAAGTGGACTTAGCATAATATGTGACCTTTTACCTTTTATTAATATTATTATTTTCCAAGGGAGACCTGGCCGAGACAGTTAGCAGCTAAAACACAAAGTTACAGACGGGGACAATTGCCTTTTAAAGATGTACTTTATAATATAAAATGATTTCTAGCTGATTATATTTCAGTTGGTTTCACTTCCTGTATCACTTGACTCGGCGTTGCCTCCCTCAAGACTGGGTAGATTTCCTGTGAGACCGAGTAAACGGATTAAAGGAAGAGCTGTGGAACAAGACTTGTTGCCCTTGACCCCGGGCTGCTTGTTCAGTGATTATTGTGTGAATAGATCAGAGGTATTGAACCGGGTGACTCTTGTCAGTGTGTTTGAACTCTGCAGACAGGAGAGGGGGTGACCCTCACTGTGCCCTGGGGTCCACAGAAGCATAGTTACTAAAGCTCTGAGCCGACATGCCATCGATCTGAACGAGAACTGTAACAAGAAGAGCTCAGGGCGGCACAACTGAGGAAGACTCCATGAGGAGGAGATGTAAGGGATTGATGCCTCCTCCTTCTCGTTGCCCCCACTCCCTCTCGTAGTATTGAATGATGCATAGGGCTGGACCTGAGCCTCTGGTGGATCATCTGTTGGAGAAGGGCACGAGTGCCAAATTTCACACAGATCTAGTGATTGATGCAAGCAGCAGGAAGGCTAAGATCTCCAGGAGTACCCTGCTGTTTATAGTTTAGTTATGCTCTGATAAGATGAATGAGGAATGCTGCCACAGGCTCATTTATGTTAAACTGAAATACTGAACTCACTGAACCCCTCCTAAGGTGTCTCAAGTTACGTTTTAGTCGCATTTAATTTTTTCTTTCAATAGAGTAAATCCATTGTGTAATCAGGTGGGCAGTTAATCATCTTGATATATTAAATATTAGACTTCACTAATGTGTGACATCTCCACTTTGAATTAGGTTTTTTGATCTTTGAGGCTGCAAAGGATAAAGCTTCAACCTTTCATGTCACTACCGAGTAAATAGTGTGGTAAATGTTAAAGTGATGCGTCTGTGTTGCAGGTTGTGGGTGATGACGGTAAACGCCCTCCAGCAGTCAGCCAAGCTGCTCCGGCAGCATACATACACCCAGAACGACCTGATGGTGGACCCTCTCATCGTGCTGCGCTGTGATCAGAGGGTGTACAGGTAACTACAGGGCAGATTGTTAACCAACGTACATGGACGCACAGTTCAGTTTCTGCGTCACACAGGCTGTTTTTGTTACACACAGACTTGTTCACACGTTTGGTGGAGTGTGTAGGTGGTCTGTAGATCCCTGTGGACATACGTTTTTGGCTGCATGAGTACAATCTGTGAAGACATACGCAGATAACCAATTTTGAACCAAATCTTCCCACACAGTTGACTGCGGTTATTTTTGGGAACTACAGGAATAATAACTGAAGACACTATGAGACATAGTCAACTTTAAAACACTTTTATTTTCATGATTTAAGGGATTTTTAAAAAATGTAAACGTATATTGTTTGTACACAACAAGTATATGTATTTCCAATCATGATGCTTAAAGAACTGAAGCCCCTGTGGGGGCAGGTTTTCCTGTATATAGGTTTTAAGGACTTCTCTTGCCCCCCGCAAGACCCCAGAGCTCAGCAAACAAAATGACAGATTTTATTTTTTTCCAGATGTCCCCCTTTGATGGACATTGTCCTCCACATGCTGAATGGCTACCTGCTGGCCTCAAAAGCTTATCTTCACTGTCACCTGAAGGAGACGGCCGACTTCGATCGTCAGAGCCTAACCGTCTCAAACCTGGGCGCTCCAGGGCAGCCGGAGACACCTGAGGTCACCAGGGAGGAGCTGAAGAACGCCCTTCTAGCTGCACAGGTATTTTAATCAACAGACACAGTACTACTATATAAAAAACTTAAAAACATTTTTAAATCTCAGCCCACCTTCATGTTGGCTGCTGCTGCGACAAATACTGTTCCTGAGAGGAACTTCTTCTGGTTTACGGATTTGATGTTGCCAAACGTTTTAAAGTCATAACACAGACACTACAGAGCTATTTTATTGCTCATAGTTAGTCTAGGTCACTCTAGGTGGGATGCAACTTGTGCCTACAACCTTAATTTAGATAACAAATGACATGAGCAAAACATTTATATGAAACGGCATCCATTTCACTGCATGAGGGTTTGGTATAGAATGAAACCAGAAGTAATCCGGCATTCAATTATACCAAAAAACATGTAAGAGATTACATTTCACACTTATGATTCATTGTAATCATTCGTTTCTCTCTGACCCCAGGACAGTGCCGCAGTCCAGATCCTCCTGGAGGTGTGTTTGCCGACCTCTGAAGAGCAGCAGCTGGGGGCCAACACGGAGAGCCTGCTGAGGAGCATCAGGGGCCCCGTTCCAGGGAGATCCAAACAGGGGAGCCTGGGGCCAAGAGCCACGGGGAGCATGGAAAACGGAGAGCCTGAGGGATGCCTGCTCAGCGACCTTAGGGAGGTGCAGTGTCTCATCTGCTGTCTGCTGCATCAGATGTTCATCGCCGACCCAAATATTGCCAAGTTGGTGCACTTTCAGGTAACTCAGTGAGGACAAGATTGAGACAGTGTGAAGGCTGGCAGCTTTAGAGAGTCAGAGATATCAAAGAGAGTGTTTTTTTTTTAACGAGGCTAGATCCAGGACCAAGAGGGTCTGGTGTGGTTCTTGACCCTTTGGTGTTTATCACAGCCTCTCTGACATTCATGCATGACTACATTGTCTTGCATCTCTCCCAAGTTTCACCATTAGAAAGTAATGATATCATGCAAATGCCCTTTTTGTGAGTAGTTGAGTTGATAGTGCCATATGGCTGAAAATACCTTCCAGTCAGTTTTTCGAAAAAAAAGCCAAGTCATGCTGACCCCATTAGTCATCACATTCTGCCATGGCTTTAGTGGTGAGTGGTTGCAGCTCTCCCACGAGTAACAGCCGGCCATATGGTGGACTTCATCAAACCAATCCCTCCTCTTTCACACTAATCCGCCCTCGTCCAAGCACAAGCTGCTGTTTGCATTCAGCGCACTAGTTTAATGTAACGCACTGACATTGTTACATGATTGTTTTCTTAACTCGTTCTTATCATTTTTGGGTTTTATATAAGATATTAATTTCCTGTATCTACCCCTTTACTCTTTTCTGTCAGGGTTACCCTCAAGCTCTGCTGCCTCTCACTGTGGCAGGCATCCCCTCCATCCATATCTGTCTGGACTTCATCCCAGAGCTGCTGGCCCAGCCCCAGCTGGAGAAGCAGGTGAGCCCTCCCTGCTCCACTACCCTCCTCTCTCATCTCCTCTTTTATTCCTGGCTTTCAATCATAGACTCGCCCTCATCTTGTGCCAAAGTATCTCTTTACACTGGTGTGTGTGTTTTTTTTAAAGAAGATGTGAACATGTTTCTCTGCAGATCTTTGCCATCCAGCTGTTGTCATACTTGTGTACACAGTACGCCCTGCCCAAGTCTCTCAGTGTTGCCAGGTTGGCGATCAGTGTCATGGGGACCCTCCTCACAGGTCGGTGGACTCTTTTACGATAAATATGTTGTGTCTGTCATGGCGGCCGCGTCGACAAGACACGTCCCGTTACAACTATAAAATTACAGATTTCTCTGGCTTTGATAACTGTTGGAAATAATAACGGTAATGTAAGTACTCAACAACAAAATTATATGACTTAAATAATGTAGATATTTTACTGTAAAATATTAAACCTTTAATCTTCGGTTAATGGTAACTTATGGAACCGTCTAGTTTCTTCATTCCTCCTTCATTAACATGATACTCAGCAACATTATTATTACAATAAATAAAACTGCATCATTTGATTTATCACTGAGGAAAGAAAGAGAGGAACTAAGCTTATATATTAGATGAGGTTTTTCTGACAGCATGTCCTGATATTGTTTCCCTTTATTGGGCTGCCATCCTCTGGACTCTGGCTGTTATTACATCATCCTGTACCGTTTGCATCAGCCTATTGGCCTGTGTGGTTGTTTATGTCACTCTTGTGTGTACTTGCCTCACAGTGTGTTTTGTCTTTTAGTGCTGACTCGGGCCAAGCGTTTCTCCTTCTTCATGCCCATCCTGCCGTGTCTGGTGGCGTTCTGCCAGGCGTTCCCTCCTCTCTATGATGATGTGGCCGCTCTGTTAGTGCAAGTGGGCCAAGTCTGTGCATCGGACGTCGCCACCAAAGCCCGGGACGTCGACCCTCTCGTCGCTCGTAAGTGCTGTTTGTTAATTTGTTAATTACAGCTTTTCTTTGTTTGATTTTAACATGTTTGAAACAGAGAAATCAAACAATCAATGAGGCTTTATAACAATATGTGAAAGGGCACTCCCCATGTACAGAGGCTGCAATCCTCATCATAGCGGCCGTGGGTTTGCCATGTTTGTCACCCCCCCACCCTCTCCACCCAACATTTCCTGTCTCTCCTCAGCTGTCCTATCCAATAAATAAACTCTTCCAGACTAGAGATTATGTACAAAGTGGGTAGATTCTGAAAAGTGCCCATTTATTTATTATGTATTACTCACCATGACACCATGTGCATGAACGGTTTAGAAACTGCCAACAAATACAAAATGCAGATCAGCTAGATGAATCACACTTTGAAATGCAGATCATAAGAGTATACTTAAAGGGGCGCTGGTTACTTTCCCGCATTTCATTCCTTACTCTCTCTCTCCCTGATTTCCAACTCTATCCACTGCCCTACCTCTCCATTAAAGGCACAAAAATAAATCTTAAAAAAAAAAAAAAAAAAAGGATATACTTAAAAAGAATGATGAATGTTTAAGCGGTAACATGAATAAGAAGTTTATCCTTCCTGCTGCCTCAGGCCTACAGTATTTGAAGGAGAAGCCGCAGGGAGCCGTGGCGTCAGGAGGAGCATCATCCAAGCTCACGTTACCCCAGAGGACGGCAGAGGAGCTGGGCGGAGCGGACCCGGACGTCCAGCTTTGCTACTGCGTAGAGGCCACCTTCATGGACATCATCAGCTCCACCCTCCACGGACTATAGAGCAGAGGGGATTGTTATAAAGGAGCAGAGTTACATTTTCAACAAATCAAAGCCTTCCACTGACCGACATTAACACTCCTGAGAGAGGGCTACATTCAACACACATCTACTCATGTTCAACACACAGACTCTGAGTCGTGTCGCCTCGTGTCTTCAGACCATGAACGGTGTAACGCTCATAATGTGCTCATCGACCACATGCTGTACAGGATACTCAATCTGGGCTCTTAAGTCCGGGCAGAGGTCGCGCACTGACCTCCATCAGGCTCGTTTCTGACGCTCTGTAAATAAAGAATTTCGCTATTGAATTAGAAAACGTAGGTTAATAATGGGCTCCGTTTGTAGAAAGTAAAATATTAAAAATGATTGAGGGGTCCATTTTCTTGACCTCAAGGCATATTTTTCTAAGAGCTACACGTCGACCTTTTCATCAGCCGATTAAAAAAAGGAAATGATGCCTTCTAATAATATGTAGAGCTTTTGTACTGTATTTGTTTGTAATAAAACAAAAAAACAACAACTTTGGAGGTGTAAAATGACGTGTAATGAATAAGTCATGAGTCAGTATACTGACAGTGCAGTTCAGCAGGTAAGTCCTTCACATCATTTCATTAAAACAACTAACCTTTTGACGGTATCATGTTAATTTTTACATTTAAAGATGATAAAATATGACATTGTCCATATTATTTATTTGAATGGAAATATTCTGATTTTTCTGACTCGTCCTCTGGTTCTTGAATATTATGATATACAGTACATTCAATTTTACTAAGTAAATAAAGATAATGTCTCTGTAAACATTCTTCTAAAACATGTAGTTTTTACCACTAATTTATTTATTTTTATGTATTTATTTCAGTTTAACTAAAACACCTCGTCACCTAAGAACAGGGGTATGTTCAGAGAGCGGGCAAGGACTGCCCCTAGAGATCTGATTGGCCACACCTAAAATCCTAAATTGTGATTGGATATCTGCCCCGTCAGAGGCGGGACTTATATTAAAAACAACTATTAGATATTTTTTTGTCTATATTTGATTGTGTGCCAACCTGTGTAAGGTTTACAAGTCCAGAAAATGAATAGTCAAAGGTGGATACTTTATTGACTTATCACAGGGAAAACATGAAGGGTCAGGAACCTCAGGAAGGGTCACTCCTTATGTCCAATCATGGCTGCACCCGATCAATCAGCCATGATTGGTTAATTAGCTGAAAAAGCTTGTGTAGTCTCAAAACACTTTAAACTTCATGGTTCATACTCAAACAGTGTGAGGACTTAGTCAGTATCACGGTGACATCTTGAAATCAGCACCATGGACAGCACCAAACAACAACAACAGACCGCTCAGAGGGTGTTATTCTATGCTCTCACATATCAATCAGTAAACATTTACTATACAACACCATAAATATCGGCCCACAGCTAACGATGACTGAGGCAGGAAAACATTTTACAAGAATAATGATCTACTTACAAACCTACATGCACAGAATTAGTCTGCATTAAGAGAAAGGGCCAGTTACTAGACCTAGTTCATGGATTTATTACAATACACTCAAATAGAGTTGAGCTTGTATATTCCTTTTCTCGCCTCCTGATTACTCAAAGCACTTTTACACTGCAGGTCACACCCACACTTTCACACACTTATGACAGAGGCTGCTGAGTAAAGAGACCATCAGAAGTAACTGATCTCATTCATATACATTCACCACTGATTAAGTAGCAGGAGCAATTCTGGGTAAAGTGTCTTGACCAAAGACTCATAGTACATGTTGCTGCAGGTGCTGGGGATCGAACCCCCAACCTTCCTGTTGAGAGACGATCGATCCTACCAGCTGAGCCACAGCCGACCCTAATTCAGATTCAATCGCTTTCTATGGTTGTTTAATTAGGCTATAAGAAAAGAGGCATCTGCGCCCCTAACCCTACATTTTAATTAGTTTCTCTCTTTCATAAAACGCTGTCGATGTGTAAACTCTGTTCAGTGCAGTTTCTTCTAAGCATATCATTCAATCTCTCAAACTGCAATAACAGTCAAAGAGCCTTCTCCACCTCTTATACCATCAACGTCCTTCAGTTATTACTTCACATGAATCCATTTTTACTGCAGCTGCACTCTTTATATCCTCATAGACATTTCCCAGTAATTCACCAGAGGGCAGTCTTGCCATTCTTAAAGCGGCAGATCCATCTGGTCGGCCTGACAGACATTAATTAAATCTACGTTTCAAAGCCAGCAGTGAGGAATCGGAGCACGCTGCTGGAGGTTTGCACAAACTGAACTCAAATATAGCACTATAGAAAAGTCTCGTTATTATGATTTGGAGTGTTTATGAACAATAAAAGTGTGCAAGGAAATAATTATTTCATTGAACTTCCTTCTCGGCCTAAAACAATGACTCACTACTCAGTTAACAACCAGAGCAATTATATACAAAAGAATGAATTACAGGGGAGACAAATGAGGAATGTCAGAGAAATAAATACAAAGTTATGAATCTTACCAGGTAATATAACTGCACAGAAGCTACTTAGCATGTTTTGTATTCCTTCATGAGAAAAGACTTGAGTGACTTGCAGACACACACTCTCTCCCCTCCTCATCTCTCTCTCTCTCCCCCCCCCCTCTCTCTGTTTTTGAGACGTTCATGACGAGCTCTGCATCAGTTTGTTGTTCCTCGGCTGCAGTTCCTCGACGCTTCTAGAGACGCCTGAAGCAAAGTGAGGGTGAAATCACAGTGCAGTTTTGTTTTCTGTGGCGCTACCAGAGTGCTTCTAACATCGAGCACCTAAAAATACAAACCCTTAAAAGAAAAAAAACCTGCCGAGGAGGAGACAGCAGCGGGCTACAGTGAAGTGTTTGTCTCTGCTTAGTGTGAAAACAGAAAGAGGGCAAGTTCAGGTGATGCTCAAGATCTCTGCAGGTTTAACCAGGAAAATAAAATATGTTACACTTTATTTTTTATGTGACGGCTGCAGCATTCGACCTCATTTTGTGATTTGACACAAGCTGTCATAGCTGCAAAGTCCATAAACAGGATGATTGTGATTTAATTCCTCAAACAAACTGAGCTGATTAAGATGTGAATGTGACAGAACACTGCTCCCTCCTCATCCTGACCGTTTATGCAGCAGACGATCCATCAAAAGATATTTCAGGACAATTCAACAAGTCTGACACAAAAGCACGACCTCAGGTCAGACGTGTGAGACCGGAGACCCAGGAACAGCCCTCTTTAGCTCTCCAGACCAAGGAGGAGACCCTCCATACAAACCCTTACACTGTCGATTGTGGATAAACTCCAGCTGAGGATCATAGATTTTTAATCAGACTGTCCGGCTCCTGATTATCAAACTAATGTCATGTCAGCACGCTGAGAGAACTCTTTTTTGATTGTTCACATCCTCACAGTCTCGTTAGAGTTGCTAGGTTACATGAATGTCTCATGAGGAAGCGTCAAAGACATTTCTTCTGATTTAAAAATAATATCTTTTTAAATGTTGTACCTTTTGGTGAATAAGTGACTTTTCTATTCAGTTTAAAATCTGATACGGTCGTTTTCATGGATAGAGAAAGCTGACTTGAGTTATTTATGTCCATCGAGGGTACCAGACCTTCCTGTCTTCTTACTTATATAGTTTGGTTTGTTTTTGGGATTTGGTGCATTGTGGTGCACGGGGGACTGTGGATTGCTGGAGTCTTTTTCAGGCCTTGCACATTTGCCAAGGATGTGTAAACACCAACCGTGTTTACAAATAACAGCTTCACAACACGGCATGTACCTCTCCAGAAATCTCCAGAGGGAAACACTTAAAAGGATTTCTTAACGCACTTAGCAAGGTATACATGAGCTCCAGCTCGTTTTGAATTCACAGCGCAGCTCTCTCTGCTTCTATTAGCATGCTGTTAATAAAAGACGAGCCCTTCAGAGCCTGCAGAAAACACCACTTCAGCCTGCTACAAGAGTCAATGAGGTTAGCAGAGAATTCTTCTCCTCTCGGCCTCAGAGGCTGTTTGATTTAAAAAATATACTTCAGGTTTTAAAGCAGTGAAACACACACACTGCTCTGACTACTGCTGAGCCTTTCACACTGGCTGGGGTTGTCTTTCTTATACTCTCTGAGTGTTTGACTTCTTAAACAATGATGCTTGAATTAAGACCAGAGGTCCTTTAAAGTCCTTTAAACTGTTAGATGTTTTAACCAAAGCCCTCTAAAGCCATTTTCACAGCTGCACAGATAATTTCAGGAGGACTACTCCGGATATTCTCCTGACCTGGTTGTTCACACATGCTCCTCACAGTGGGAGACTATCCCTGTCAGACTGGATGGGGGACCAGGGATCTCCTTAGGTAAAAAGTACAATGCAGAAGTAACAGACGAAGCAACAAGAGTCAGCTACAAAGACGCTAAAATGAGAATATTTGCCTTTATGAAAATGCTACGTGCATCAACAAAAGAGCGGAGAAGAACATACTGGAGAACAGAAAACATGATGCAGCCTTTTAGGCTGATTGCTGATGTTGTTGTTAGCCTAACAAACACAAACTCTTCATGCAAATAGTTTGCAAACAACGGGCTGTGGACGCTTGCAGAGTCATATTTGCTAGAAATCTGCTGATATCTCTGAAACTTGTCAGACGATATTGGTTGTTTGGCTTCTTGCAAAGTCTGCTGGCTTTGGCTTGTAAATGAATGCATGTTGTCTGAGAGGGGGAGACGTCGCACAAGATTGCAGTTGCACTCAGAGACCTTCAGTGGGCGCCAAAGTGCACCAATGCAATGTCCCACTGATTGTTGCTTTAATCTAAAATAAGTGTAGTCACAGAAGATAATCCAGGTCAAATCAATCAAAATATAGATAAGTTGGTTAGGTTTTTACCAGGTTTCTATGCACAACAGTAGTGTGTGTGTCTGTGTTAAAAGATTGATGCAGGAGTCTAAAAATAAAGTTAAAGGTAAGATCCCCTCCTCATTATGTATCAGAGCTTCAGGGCATTAAACACAGCTGTTTTGGTTGTTATAGTTGTTTACACTTGTTACCGTCAGGAGGTCAACGCTCTCTGACCTTTTCATTACAACCACATAACCCATCGACCGACTGAGTGAATATTTGTCCTGCACGGATGAGCTTGTTCTCTCTTCCTCTAAATTTTCCTCGGTGTGAACAGCAGCTTGTCTGGCTGATCAAAAGAACAAGCAGAGACGAGTGAGACGCTGCGTTTCCCTCAGATCTTCCCGCGCCTCGTCTTCGTAGCGCGTAGAAGCTGAGGGATTTGATTACACAGAGCAGGAGCACTTTGTCAGGCCTGAATGCATTTTTTACAATGTGTCGCTGGGAACAAAGGGACTCTGTAAAAGCTTTCATAACACCCTTTAAAACTTTTGATTTCCCCCTCGGTTGAGCAGAAAGCGTCAGGAAGACGGCGATTTAAAACTAATTGGCAGCATGTCAGCGGCGTATTTACATTTTGTTCTTTTAAAGATGCAATTAATTACAAGAGATGAAGAAGTCTGC